GGGGGGGGGGGGGAATGGGCACTGGTCAATTTCTCCTGAGAATCTTTGCTGGGCCAGCAGTTCAGTAAACAGCACACAGGGCAGAAGATGAGAAGGTTCCAGGGACAAAGGCAGCCTCCCCAGAGGCCACCTGGGAAAAGATGCAGATTTGGGCCTGGTCTAGCCACTGGCAGCCCCTCCTGGGCTACTGGCCAAGCAACAGCACAGTAACAAACCACTACCAGGTTGTGAGAGGGCGCCTCAGGGCCCCGGCCTTTAATTCAGCTGCTTATCAGCATGCCATGGCCATGGTAAAGGAAAATCCTGGCCACGCTTTTTAACTCACCAAGGTCACCAAAGTGAGAGAAACCTTTCTGGCTTTAAAAATTGTGCACACGTTTATTAGAAAAGCAAGGGTTTTTTTGTTTACTTCCATTTCTTGTTTTTAAAACTTCTAATGTGTTTTGTATTCTTTTTAAAAATTCTTTGTTGTTGAAAGTATTACATATGTCCCCTTTTCCCCCCCATTGACCTCTCCCAGCCCGCCCCGGCCACCCCCCAGGCCTTCACCACCCTATTATCTGTACCCATGGGTTATGCATATATGTATACAAGTTCATTGGTTGATCTCTTCCCCACCTCCTACCCACCCTCCCCTGCCTTCCCTCTGAGGTTTGACAGTCTGTTCAATGCTTCTATGTTTCTGGGTCTATTTTTGCTCAGTTTATGTTTTTGACAGTCTGTTCAATGCTTCTATGTTTCTGGGTCTATTTTTGCTCATCAGTTTATGTTGTCCGTTTCTTGAATAATAACCTCAGTTAAAAATAAAAACAAAAAACTCACCATTTTCCCACTGGATTTCATTTCTGAAACACTCATTGTAAATGTTTTGCTTCCTTTATCGTATGTACAATAATGTTTAATCCATGTAAAACCAAGTGGTCCTAATGCAAGGAAACAAACGTCACAGACTGTTAATAAATGACTAGTTTTCCCATTTGTACAGTTTTGCTTTTTTTAAAAATATATGTTTATTGATTTCAGAGGGGAAGGGAGAGAGAGAGAGAGAAACATCAATGATGAGAAAGAATCATTAATTGGCTGCCTCCTGCATGCCCCACACTGGAGATCGAGCCCACAACCCCGCATGTGTCCTTGACTGGGACTCGAACTGCGACCTCCTGGTTCACAGGTGACGCTCAACCACTGAGTCACGCCGGCTGGGCTGTTCAGTTTTTGATGCTACAATAAACAATTGAGCATTTCCACAGACCATGTAAGTTTGGAACTTTTACTGAATGAGCGTGAGAAGGGCAAGTATGGAGAGAGAGTGGTATGGGGTAGTGTCTTGGAATTGAGCCACGTGGCCTAACTTGAAGCTTTGACTATAAACTCAAGACTTCCTTTAGATCTGAACTTCAGTTGTCTCATGTGTAAAAGTGGTACTTATATCCCATAGAAGTAGGAAGCATGAGGAGTAACAGTCTGAGTTACTATCGCTGGTCTCCTTCTTGCCCTCTGTTCCTGAAACTGCTAAAAATTTAGCAAGGTCATGTCACCCCTCTGTGCGAAACCCTCCAGTTCTAATAAAACCCGTATCACTCCAGAGGAACAGCAAAGATCCCGTGACGTCCCACCAGGCCCCTCCCTAGGGCTCTCACCTCACATCTTACTACCCTTTGCTTCATGCACTCCGCTCCAGCTACACTGGCCCCTTGCTGATCCCTAAACACAGCGAATGCACTTCTACTCAGGGCATCTGAAGCAGCCTGCACGCCTCTTCCCCCAGACGTTGGCACGGCCTGCACTGTCGCCTCCTTCAGGACTTTTCCTAAATGTCTCCGCCCTAGTACTGCCTTTCCTGAGACAGCTCACATAGCAACACCCTCACCTGATAGTTCTTGCTTTACTTTCTTCTTAGAAGCTATCACTAAATTCTACTTGATGCAGCCTACTTATTGCTTGTCTCTGCCATTTAGACTCTAATTCTCTAGGAGCAGGAAAGCGTGATGTTCTGCTGACTGGTACATTCTTAATCCGTCGAACAGGGCCAGATACATAGTTGTCACTCAATAAATATTTGACAAGTGAAGGAAAAGGAAAGAATCACTCATCTTTCTTTAAGACTTTATTGACCTTAGAGTTATTTCCTCTTACCACTAATCTGAAAAGAAAAAAGTGAATTTAAATAACTTCTTAAAAGGAAAATGTGTCATTCACTATGTATAGTATAAGTTTTATATGGATAGTGCTCCCTTTCCCCCCATAAATACTGTGCAACCCTTTCCCACAGCACTCCCCTTACAATCCTATATTCTCTCCTTAAGGAATGGACGGCCGCTGGTTGGACAGGGTGGAGGGATGCCTTGTGACCAAGGTAGGCGACCTTCCTTTTCCACACAGGGAAGCCAACTATCCTGGATCCAAATGTCACAGTGGCTGAGGGCCTTGAAGACGGAGCTTGTTTTCTAGGCAGCTTCTATCCTGCTTAACACCTGGGTCTTTCTAGCAACAATTATGTACAATGTTATTGCTGCCGTGGTCTCATAACCATATATTCAGAAGCAAGAAATGTGAATGTGAAAGTGCATCTCTTGAGGAAAGTGTTTCATGAGCCATTTGAATTTATTTTTTCCGCAATAACAGTGCCTTGGGTGTCGTGTGTCGTTAATGCTTAAACTGCTCCAGATTTTAAAAAGATGGGGTTTGGCGGTATACTTCGTCATCACAAAAGGTTTTTGCAATTAACTTCAATTCTGTTTGGGGAACATTTTACACTATAATACTTAACAATACTTGTTGATAATTCTGTTCCGTGTGGTGTAAACCACTTAAAGGCTTAGAGCTGATTAGCGGGAAGTGGCTGGATGGAAACCCTTACAGTGACTTTACTACTCAGCCATGTAGGAAGCAGTATTAGCCATCAAGTATGGCCACAGTGATGCTCTGATGACATTTTAGACCTCGGCTTAGTTTTTCTTTCCTGCCTCCACCATAAGTGCAGCATCTCAAGCATTTGTAATCTTCAGGTCTGCTGCACACACGTGCTGCTTCCTTTAAGGTCTGCCTGGCACTGGGCCCAGGCAGATGTTGTTACACCAGCAATTCTGAAGTCCTTAAAAAACAGTCTTGGAAAATAAAAATTTATTATAGCTCTAAAGTAGCAAAATAAAACAAGTTTAATTATCTTACCCAGTAATCATGTGAGGTTGCCAAGATGATGCTTACAAAATGGGAGGAAATGAACATTTATGGAATACCTTTTAAGTGCCAAAATTTAACCTAAGAACTTTTTAAGTGATACTTTATAATGCCATTTTACATATAAGGAAACAGAACAATAGAACTGCACATGATACTACTTCCTTCATCAATAAAGGCATGCGACGGGAGTTGTTCTTTTTAGGGAATACTACCTCTCAAGAGTTATTTTAAGAATTATACATGAGATAAATGTAAATTGCACAGAGCAGTAAGAGCTCCTGGTATGTATAGTGGTAGTATTATGCACCACTGCTGATAATAGGGACATTTTACATACATTATCTCTGATTCCTGCAACACCCTTACAAGATAAGTATAAATCTCCCTCTTTTACAAATGAGGAGACTGAGCTCAGAATGGTGTCCGCCCAGCACCTCCCAGTTAACAGGGGGCAGGCACGGCATTCCAGCGCAGTTCTGTCTGACTCTGGAGCCCAGGCTATCCTCAAGCCTATTAGAATGCAATGTAATGTGTGCCTAGAGGTGGGTAACATAGCAACCGCATCTCCAGACAACGGGGAGCTCTGTGCCCTGACTGCAATGATCTGCCTCTGCCCCATTGCGGCCACCTCCATTTGTCACTTCATTTACAGCTCTGATAGCTCCTATTGATCACTGGCTGCTGACTGCGTGAGTTTGCCTTATGCCTTCCACTACAGAATAAACGCCCAGAAGCCATTTCTTCATCTCATTTTCTGTTCCCCACAGGACTTATCCTCTGTGATAGCAACAGCCCAATTGATATGTCTTCGTGGACTGGTCGAATTTTTGTATTATAAATGCTTTCAAAGATTCCCAGTGGAAAGGGGCTTTGGATATTTGTCCCTTGCGTAAAAATAATTCCAAAGGCGTATAAATCCACAAATTTTTCTTTTTAAATCCCCAAGTAAGGGGAAGGAGGGAGGATGGTCAATGGGAAAAGGAAAGAGAGAGGGATTATATCGGGGCTGGAGAGCACTTCTGAAGGTTGAGTGTGGTGATGGTATCACAGGTGCATACTTAGGGCAAAACCCTTCAAACCGTACATTTTAAGTATGTGCGATTTATTATATGTCAATTGTACCTCACTAAAGCTGTACAAATAATGCAGGGGATACAGAGAAAATCGAGAGAGAGTGTCTTGGGGGCAAGAAGGCAACATAAAAAAGGAGGATGCCAAACAGAGGGAGAGTCTGCCTGTTAGAGCCTCAAATGCCACACTCCTTAGGGACCTTCCCAGGAGGGGCACTAGAGTTATCATTTCAATCTCTGAAAACAGACTTGTCAAAGTAGACAGTTATGAGACAAACTCCCAGAACCCAGTTCCCCTGAGCCAGCAGCCCTCTACCATCTAGTCTACACAGCAATAAATGTCGGCCACGTGTGTCAGATCAAATCATTATTTTCTAATACTACCAGCCAACCACTGAGCATTACCTGAGCATGTCAAATACACATTGGGTTGCATTTTACTGATCATGTTGCTCTGCGTCGAAACGCTTACAGCCGACCTGATATCTCCAACTTCCCCATCCCAAACCCTTTAATATCTTACTAACCAAAACAATTCCCTCACTCTCTTGTGTACTGACAGGGAGACTTCAGAGCAGTGCCATTTCATGTGGTTGGTGGGTCCCAATAAATGTGAAAAATACAGAAAGCATAAATAAGCATTTTCTTTTTCTTTTTCTTTTTTTTTTTTTTTTTTACAGCAATTTGAAATTGCAAAATGCAAGCACATGCTTTTGTGTTTTACAAAGACATTGGTCCATGATGGATTGGAAAAAAATTGTTCCTTCAACACGAAGAGTATGAGAATGGTGCTGTAGGGCATATGTGATTTGAAATAGAGAGTTAATTTAGCCAGACTGGTCTCACTTAGTGACAAGTATCATTCAGAAAGGATCCTCGTTAAACAATTCTGAGTGGCTTTTTATTTCTTTTTGTGAGATAAACTTTCTTAGTGTGAGGCAATTATCATCATGCTCTATTGGGTCTGATGCTTATTCCCTAACCTCAAGAAGCAAAGGGTGCAGTGTGACATTACACAGTTGCCAGTTTTATTCCTGGAAACTGAGAAAAACACAGAAGTCAATGAAACGATGCGGTTGGAAGGGAACACTTATCACAGTCACCGGGATGATTCATCCTGAAAAAGTCTTTGATTTTTAATTTTCCACCAAACTTTAAATTGAGATTAGATATCACAATAAATTCTAGAACTGAATTTATGTTGCCCCATCATTAGCAAAAGGTTATAAGTTCCAAGTTCAACAAATAAACTTAGAGATGCTGGTGGTGAGATGTGAAAAAGCTTCCTTTCTGTGGTGGTGATGGTGGCTGAGCTGACTAAATACCATAAATTGGAAGGGATTTCCATCTCTACTTGAAGGAACACTAACCAAGTCACACCTCGTGGAAACAGAACGTTAACCATAGAGACATTAGGTTGTGTTTCTGTGACTCACGTTTCTCCTGGACGTAAAGGTAGCCTTCCATTGTCCACTGGCTGGGCGGTCTGTAATCTTGGTTGGCAGATTTCATCCTTTGCATCAACCGCTCCACCTCTTGTCGAGTACTTTCAAAATTATTCCTTGTCTTGAGTAAATAAAAATAACAGATTCAGTCTTTCTTTCCTACCTGTTTTGAGGAACTCAGAACCAAAAGTTTCAAAACTGCAAATTATGCAAAGGATAACCTCAATTCTTTCAGCACTACTCACCCACCTCCATGACACGCTATGTTGAGTCCTATGGCTGATGTTGAACGGCTTTAGTGAAACTTCTGCAGGTTTCTCAATCTCAATCTGTGGGTATATGTGTGTGTGTGCGCACACGTTTGCACGCATGCATGTTGTATGTTTCTTCCCATTTCCCACTCTAATATTATTACTTAGTGGCCAATTATAGCATTTTAAATTATGTAATATTTACTCAATATAATTTTATAACACTAATGCCTAAGGTTAAAAAGCAGATACATAGGGACTTATATTTTTTTTTGGGGGGGGGGGATAAAAACAAATTAAATTCACATATTTTTAAGTATGTAGCACTTATTGAAAACAAAGTTCATTGCCCTTGTTTCAAATACTTTTGAAGAAACATTGCTTAGCTTGGTTTTCAGAAATCCCAACATAGTTATCATGAGGTCAGTATATAAACTAACTCATAAAAAAGGATAGGTTTGCAAGAAATAGTTTATTCACAGTACAGCAAGTTTACTTAAGGTAAAACATGTTTTGTAATCAAGCCACGCTATCTCAACAATACACATTCAGAAACATAAATCATCACTGCCTAACTTAAGACTTTGTTATGGCCCGTAATAAAATAACTGAATTTTCTTAATTGCCACTTTTGCTACTTTTCTCTTTCCAACATAAGGATCACAATTTTTTTCCTATTCCTTACCTGTTCCCAAGTCCCAGGAATCTTAAGTTAATCACACTTAATATGAAGATAAGTCATAAAAATACTTTAACTATAGTAATTGTCTCTTTTAATATTTACTGAAAAAGCCCAAATGCATTCCATATTGAAAAACAATGGAATGAATTGCATACAAAATCAATTCTGCAAGAAAATCTAGGTTAAATAAAAAGCTAAAACTCAAAACACAAGTAGAATAAATCCAATCCAATTACATATTGCTCCCGGGACCCTCCAACTCAATAGCTCTATTTATTGGACATATTCACAATGGCAAAACTCAGATAAACAGTGAAGGCCAAGTTTTTTACCGAAAATTCAGTGAGAGCTTTCCGATTTATTTTAGCTACAGAGTACTAGACAGGGTTTTAGAAATAACTTCTCACTTATACAAAACCCTGAACAACTGGAAGGTCATTATTTGTCAGGCTTTGACAATAAGAAAATATATTAGCTAATTTTTTAATGGGGTGTTCAGCAGCTATGTAATTATATAACTATGTAATCAGATATCAAAAGGATTGATTAGACACCTTTACAAGAATAAAGCCTGACAGAAAGAGATAGGATGTTTGTAAATAACTCTTACTTAAGCTTTAAAACAGCTGCTTTTGAACATTTCAAACCATGTTCAAATTTATTATCTGAATGTAATAAACATCAGATATATTATATGTAACTTCATACATGGATGGGGCATCAGAATGCCACAGTACAACCTTCGTTTCATAAATAAATGCTGCCCTCTCAGAAAATAAAACATACCTAAGTTCACCCAGTTAAGTAATGAGAACACTGGGTATAGGCAAAAGTTTCCAAATGTCCAGGCGTCTATATCTCAGCAGCATTTATTTTATAATAAATATTTCCTTGTATACATTTTCCTAATATTAAGATTGGCTCTTTCCTGCTGTACTTTCAACCAGCAGCTAGAAATCAAACCATTTTAAAATAAATTTATAATGTGGCTTTTCTAAATCAATGAGGTTTTACTGTATTAGATAAGGTTTGGAAAGACTCCCCGGTTTGGCCTGGTTTGAACCTAGTTGCGCTACGATCGTCCGATTCACCAAGGAGGCAGTGAGAACAGGTACAGCCTTACATTCTGCAAGTTGAACTGCAGCTGTTGTTTATATGGTGCAAATTCCTGGGCGAGTTCATATCCCTCGTGGTAAAAAGTAAACAAACCTTGAAGGAACGACAGAAGCTGCAAAAATAAAAAGACAAAGAAAGCATGAAAACGTGTTTTAAAAAACATGGCCATCAAACATAATAAACTGGGGAAACGTCATTTCATTCTAAACCCTCAGCTAATAAGTTTTCAATCTCTTTGGCAAAGCCCACACTAAAATTACGGATGTGAAACAGAACCCACAGAAGCCAATTTTTAATTCCTTTTTAGTAGACAGTGATTTAATTTTTTAGTCTTGTCAGGGACAGCTGTCATATTAACTACTCGAATATTCAAATGCATTGACTATCGAGGAGAGACCATTAATGGGGAGAAAATCCAAAGACACGTAGCTCCTGCCCCAGAAGAGCTAACCGGAGCAGGGAGGTAAGACACGCAGATGTGAGGAAGACCAAAGCAGTGAGTTACAGAGACACCCAACAGGAGTTAGGGTTTGGCCAGATGAAATGAAGGAAAAATTCACAAGGTGGCAGTACTGACCTGGGTATTGAATAGACATGTTCGCAAGGAGTGGGAAGAAGGCAAACCAGGGAAGAGGGGAGCAAACGCAGGGAGACAGATACAGATCTTTCATATAAAAATTAAAGAAAAATCCTCTCTAGCAAAGCACAATTCCTATGATCCTAGCCTTCTTATGTGCTTATTTACGATGTTCTTATTCTTGCAGTAAGAGTGGCTCTCCATGCAATTACAGGACACAATTGTTGATAAGTTATAACTGAAAAATAATTCAATTGTTTTTCATTTAATTCACTGTAATTTTTTCCCCCCAGACTTGTCCAACAATTCAATCTCTTCCTCAACTTCTTCTAACAATAAAATTGAAAATATTTTTGAAGCCCCGACCAGGTAGCTCAGTTGGTTAGAGCATCAGCCCCATATGTCAAGGTTGCGGGTTAGATGCCAGGTCAGGGCGCATACAAGAAGGAGCCATACGAGAATACATCAATAAATGGAACAACAAATCCATGTTTCTCTCTCTCTCTCTTCTCTAAATCAATAAATAAAATATTTTTTAAAAATTAAAAATATTTTTGAGAAGTGACTAATGATTTTCTAATTCAAATAACACAGTATGTCTGTAAGCTATTATTTTAAATTGAGGAAAAAACAATTTTACATCAACTGAAAATTAACAAAACTAAATACTCAATAGATCATCCTTTATTAAAGAGTTGATATAATATTTCTCAAATTAACCAGTAACTTAAAAAGAACTATAGCTTATGAAATGGGACTACAAGATACCTTTAATTAATTGGGGCTTGGATGTGTACGTTTACAGATTTTCAGAGACAAAATAAGAAAATACTTTTGAGGTATAAAGAAAACACTGGTGTTCTAAATATCCAAATAATAGGTAATGAAGTTGTTAAAAGGAGTGTTGCTTCATGTTATATAATTAGTCCAAATTTAAACTGTCTTATGAACTGAATGCAACACAATGAAAACGCTATTTTAATATTATCCTAAGGACAAAGAATTCAATTAAACATGAAAAAGATACCTTAAGAATATCTGCAATAAATTTTCCTATAGAACACCCAATTCCCCAATATCCATCTAAATAAATAAGTCTTTTGGCATCTTCTAGCAGATTTCAGATGCACTACATAGCAGATAAATATATTTTAATCTTACAATACATGCATAATGTAACACCCACGAGGGAATGTATAATCCTTAGGAAAGTACAGAAAAATTACATTCAAAGAACCACCCACCTTTTCCTTTTGTTTCATATCTACTTTGGAAATAGGTTTGGAGAAAGTATGACAAAGGCAGCATGCATGAAATAACTGCCTCTAGATGGTAGCAAAATTAAAAGTTTTTTTAGGATTGAATATATACTAGCTCATTTTATCAGAAACAAATTCCATGATGCTAAAGTAAGGGAACTTTATAAGACAGCCTGAATCTTTAAGAATTGCATTTCCCACATGTCATTTTCTTTGTTCATTCTGCCTGAATGGGTACAGTTGTATGGAAAAGACTACTGTGTCTCAGCTTGCCTTAAACTAATCCTGACCTTTAATATAATAAAAATAATAATAACAACAACAACAACTACAAAGACTAGATAGATTAGGTTTTAATATTAAGAAAGTCACTTTTATCATCAGGAAAAAGTCCAGTAGCACTTTATTATTCCCAAGAATTTTAGAATCAAATTAGATTTTGTCATTCCAGTAACCTGACCAAATGTGGAAACTGATACGGCATTACATAGATAAGTAATCATTTAGAAAAACCCTTTACAACTCAGCAAAGGAATGAATATTCAAAATTTCCCAGTCCATTAATCATCAGGTTTCAAGCCTTAAGGGCTCAGAGTTGCCAGTGATACTGTGAATGGCAGAGAAAAGTGAGAAAAGGGGTTGGGAAGGGAGGAACTCCAAAGCAACTGATGCTGTAATTCCAGATGACTGTTGCCCAAACTGAGCAGAATAAGTGGGATGTAAAGGCTCTTATACTGATGTGATTCATTCCTTATCTCCTAAGAAATTCATCACCGAAAAGCCCAACAAATCCACTAACACACACACACACACACACACACACACACACACACATTATATACTAGAACTAATAAGTTCAGCAAAGTTGCAGGATACAAAACTAATATACAAAAATCAACTATATTTATATACACTTGCAATGAATAACCTGAAAATGCAATTTAAAAACAATCCCATTCACAATAGTTTCAAAAAGAATAAAATACTTAGGAATAAATTCTTTAAAAAGAAGTACAAAATTTATAATTTGCAAAGTACAAAATGCTGTTGAAAGGTCTTAAAGAAGGTCTATATAAAAGGAAAATATTTCATATTCATGGATTGGAAGACAATATTGTTAAGACGGCAATACTCTCCAAATTGATGTGCAGATATAATGAAATCCCTGTCAGAAGCCCAGCTGACTTCTTTATAATAATGGATAAGCTGAGTCTAAAATTCATATGGAATAGCAACAAACCTAAATCAGTCACACTAATGTTGAAAAGATGAAAAAAGTAGTTTATTTCCGAACTTAATGCAATGCAATAGTAATCAACTGTGCGATACTAGCTCAATGACTCCTATAAACAATGAAAGAGAATTGAAAGAAAGTCTAGAAATAAACCCACATATCTATGGTGAACTTATTTTCAACCAGGGTACCAAGATGATAAAATGAATCAAGAATAGTCTTTTCAATCAGTGATTCTTGGACCACTGGATAGACAAATGTAAAAGAATGAAATTGAATGCCTACTTCACACCATCGATCAACATGAACTAAAAATGGGCACAATGTATGCATGCTATGTGAATTACATCCCAATAATACTGTTGTAAAATGAAATAAAAATAAACACTTCCCATATGTAAAGCACTGGCATGTCTAGAAGAAATAAAAATCGTATGTATGCCTCTACATTTGCCCACTGAAACTCCTGAGAAGATTGGGAAAGTAGGGTAAGGCAAGGAGGCATCAATTCTCACAAGTGCCGGGCCTTTTAAGCCTGCAGCCTCCGCTGTTCCTTACTTGGAGGAAACTTAGAGGGAAATATCTTAAAGGATAGCCTCAAAACGACTATGAAGTATTTTAACTCTAACACATATATATTCAGAGGAGTTTATTGAGAAGAAATGAGGGGGTATCAAAACCTAACCAAATAAATGAGGAATGTGAAGAGAAAAGAGGGCCAAGGGTAGAAAGAGGTCGGTCAGCTGTGACCTGGGCTGACAACGTCTAAAGCAGGATGATGAAAGAAGGACGGAAGAACAAATGAATAGACAGAGATGTAATTGATTCAATTCAATTTAAAAAGCTAAAACTCTGAAGTTGTGGCTCTATAACCCTGCCTCGGCAGTGAAGAACCATTGGAGTTCCTGAAGGCGGATTTCTACACATTCAAAGGGATGGCATTCAGATGAAGTGGCCGGACAGAACCTTCTGTGGGAAAGGGACAGAAGCACTGAGCAATAAAGTCAGCTTATCTCTTTGGATCAATAGGAATGAAGGAGGCAATGCAGGCAACAAGGTAATTAAAGCCCAGCTGAAGCTATGTTCGGACCAAGCCTTCCCAGGATGGATTTCTGAAATGAAGTTCAAGGGGATGAGTCAGCCAAACAAATAGAATGTATTTTTCTTACTTTTCCAAAATTCTATTAACTGTCTAACTACTACTGTAAATTGCAGATGTTTTAATAACAGGACCTAGAACTAAATAAAAGGGCCAGCACAGATTTTATTTTAAGGTATATGACCTAAAGAGAGATTTGTTGTTTCATTTTTATACGATGAATGCTCTTAGATTTTCAGCAGGATCGAAATTTAACCTTTAGTCCTACAGAGCTTTTTAAAAAATGACATTGTCTAATTTGCTCACTTCGATTTACCTTTAAATTAAATTTTCTATATGAAAGCTATCCAATCATATTGAAAAAGAACACAAAAAGATTTAACTTTCAAACCTGCAGATGTAGCTCATTGTTTAAAAATATGTAAATGTCCCCTTTTTTCCATGTTTGGGCATTTTCCCCGAGCTTTTCCTTGAAATAATGACCCTGTATGAATATTTATTTCTGATACCACCTATATGTTCTGCAGAAGTTTTATCACAAGTAGTGGGGTCTTGAAACAGTGTAAAATAATCTCAAATGCTCATCATAAAGGAAGTTATTTAATGTATGTTCTGCAGAAGTTTTATCACAAGTAGTGGGGTCTTGATATTAATTGAAACAGTGTAAAATAATTTCAAATGCTCATCATAAAGGAAGTTATTTAATGTAAATCACCAGGAGTATTTATATTATCTACTTGTTACCTTACAATCTCTGAGATAAGACACATCCCGGGGGTATTTTGCTTTACTCTAATCCTTGATAAATAAATCTGGGCTAACTGGAATAGACTGCTAGATTTGTGCAATGTGAACAGGAATTGGATTTCTGCAGAACAAAAACTGCAAAGATATTGAAGTATCCTCATGTGTTTTTATGTTCGTCGCTCCTGGGAGCTTTGTTTTTGAAATTTTAAAAACTCTTTTCCTCCAAATTAATTTGTAAATGCACAACCTAAAGAGCAAATGCCCATGTTTCATTGCTCCCAATCCTATTCTTCTCATTATTGAAATGGAAATTAAGTAAAACCCCACGGAAGAGACTTTGCAGCTAGAAATGAAAACGAGACTAAACTGACAGTACTGTTTGGTTTGGCCAGACATTCTAATAGGAAAAACACAGCAGCCAAGAAAATATTTTGGAAGAAAGGCAGATTTAAACATCGATTTTGATTGTGGTGTCACAGGAAAGGCATGCATTGCAGAAGGCTTCAGACCGTCCCAGTTTGGGAAACGGTAGAGAGAAGGAAGAAAACTCGTTTCAACAGGAGGACAGTTTCCACTCCTCTACGTGTATTATGGCAGCAGTTCACAAATTCCTACCATTCCTTCTGTCACCTGTGTGCACACGACTTTACAGCCTTCCCCTTATAGACCTGATGTCACAGGGCAGAATGGTCTAGCTCACTGTTCCCAGACAGGATGGGCCATGAACAGAAGCTCTGATGGGAAAATGGGCTCCCTGTATGCCCCTCAGAAGCAGGAGAGAGGGATCCAGATGTACAGGAATGACTGCAGATATAAAGGGGTCATTCCAGGTGAGGAAGAACCGTGCAGCACATGAGCACAGTATGCGAAGGCAATGGGAACGGGAAAGGAAGAAGTATGAAGGAAAACTGTCAGAACGAAGGGGGTACTCCAGCAGTTTACTGTCAAGAAGAGCTAAAATTTGGAAATCCCAAGAGGTCATCCCCCAGGAGGAAGCCTTCTAGCGAGTAGAGGGGCCTTCAAAACCCTGGTAGGATTCGGAGGAAGAACTTAGTCCATGAGAAGGGAGTAGTAATGCTAAGTGCTGGTTATCTACCCAGCCTAGGGGCTGCTAGGCTGACCAGCTACCATGAACCCCAGATGAGCTTCAGAAGGCCATCGAAGAAAAGTTGAATCAGATCCTCAAAGCATCTACTAAACAGGGGTTACCAAGTCATTCCAAGGGTTTTAAGGACTAAGCTGTTTGGCAATCAGAACTTGAGCTTAAGGCTGCTATCTCAAACAAGAGGTAAAAGTTAATTCCAGGAGCCTGCGTGTGGCTTCTAGTTCCCTAAATCCCTTTAGCTGAGGGGCTGGCCCTAAGACTTGTCCAGGGCCCAGTTTACAGCGGGAAGTTGGGTGGCTCCAGCTGATGGAGGGGAGTGAAGCGGGGTGCTGAGCCACACGGGGACTGGACACTGCCCAGCCTCCGCTGTCTCGGTTTCCCATCATCTTTAGGGCATCACAGAAGGGTTTCCATCGGGAAATACATCTTGGCAAATATATTTTGAAGTGTGCTTTTCCTTCCCTTTTCCCTATCACTTCCTCTAAAATAGGAAGAATGTGTTTTCTGATTACAAATAGATTTTTTTTTCACAGAATGACTGACATAGGAAGAAAAGTATGGCTTATGTTATATATTTGATTACTTAACATATTTTACTATCACTGTCCTCTCATCTCATGGGAACTGAGCATTATCTACAAATGGAAGGCAATCTTGACTATAGAACTTAGCTTTATTCATCCCAGATGACACCTCCTGAATATGCCCACTTAGCCAATATCGTAACATATTAGGGTATTACTTGGGAAGAAACATGAAGTAAGCCTATAAAGACCAGCCACCTGTTCATTTCTGTAATGCGGTTTACATTAGGGAATCCAGTACTTTTCACACTGACTTAGCCAAATAAATGACTTCATTGGAAAGTCAGACAAGTCCCAGCCTTGCAAGGCGGTGGCGGGAACCAAGGAAGAAATGTGGCCCATGCCTTCTCCCTTCACCTAAAGCGTTGGCGCATGGGGCACTTTAGTGGGAGATGTATTTGCTTAGGTATATGTCACACACACCCGTCTATCCTTAATTTTTTTCAAATCAGTGAGCTATTTTAGAACAGTTTTCAATTTATTGAAACATTGAGAAGAAATTAGAGTCCCCATATACTCCCTTAGCCCCTATTCAAACAGTTTCCCTGTCATTAACATCATGCATTAGTGAGGAAAACTTGTTACAAATGACAATCCAGGACTGACACATCATTATTAATAAAATCTATAGTTTACATTAGGGATTCAGTCTGTGTTGTACATTCTATGGGTTTTCACAAATCTGTAATGACATGTGTCCACCATCACAGTTTCATACAATAGCTTTTCTGCCCTAAAAGTGCCCACCTATTTGCTCCTCCCACATTCCCGTCTCCCTTTTTCTTTTTAAAAATCATAATTTTCAACAGAAAAACACGGCAATATTTTCCCACAGGATATACTGGACTTACTCTTTTAAAGGGAAATTAAAACTTACCGGTTCGACAAATTCAAACTTCTTTTTTTCTTGAACTTCTTGAATTTTAAAGACATATTCTAGCGATGCTTCGTAGAAGTTTTGATGTTCTCGGTCAATTTGTGTATCTGCCTAAAGAGTGCAAAAAGGCAAACCATGACATAGGGAGTCATTATTAATGGTTCTGTGTTAGAGAGGAGCTCAAATCCTGTTCCACTCTGAAATCTTTATTAAAAATTAAGTCCCGCCAAAAGTTTTAATATAGCAATTATTACTATGTCCTGGGAATACAGAGACTAGGAAAACACAGCCCTTGTCCGTAAGAACTATAGTATAGGGGTGGGAGGGGGAAAACAACAACAGAGTAAGCATACAACAGTCAGATCAAAACGGGCCGGATCCGGCCTGCGGGCCGTAGTTTGCCCACGGCTGGTATATGGGGTGGGAGGGGGGAAACAACAACAGAGTAAGCATACAACAGTCAGATCAGTTTTTTAAAATAATGCAGAAGAGGTATATAAAAGTATTTGAAAATCTACAGGATCATAAAAAAAAGAGCTTTAAGTTCTGGGAGAAAATGGTAGTGGTTTGAGTTGAATTTTAAGATGAACAACTGGCAGTGAGTAGTCAAAGATTAAAAAAAAAAAAAAAAGAGCCACTCCCATAAAAAAGTAAAGACCCATGAACGAGTTTGACAGGGTTTGCCAACAGAGTGCATAAGTGGAGGGAAGGAAGGAGAAGTAAGATTAGCACCACACTGTCAAAGACCTTGAACACTGCATAGCAAATTTGGATTTAACTGAGGACAAATTATCTGAGAATATTAAGCAGCAAGCCACATCATTAGGTAATCCCTTAGAAAGATAATACTGATAGCAGAGCCAAAAAATTTCCATGGTTCTAACTCAGTGATTCATACTCCATCAATGCCATGCACATTTATTCTTCATGAACACAGTAAGGTTTGATTGATAAAGTGTAAGAAAATGGTTATTGAGATAATTTCATTTTATTTCTTTTATGTCACCTCTCTCCCCTCTTCTATGCCCACTACCACCCTCATATGCCATTTTTTAAACTGATTTTTATTTAACAGAGAGGCAAGCCCTGGCCTGTGTGAATCAGTCAATTGGAGCATCCTCCTGTGCAATGGAAGGTCATGGGTTTGATTCCCAGTCAGGGGACATACCCAAGTTGGTTCAAACCTGGTCAGGGAGAGTACGGGAGGCAACCAATGATGTATCTCTCTCACACTGATGTTTCTCTCTCTCTCTTTCTCTCCTCCCTCCCCCCTCTTTAAAAAAATCAATTTAATAAAAAAGAGAGAGTCATGATTTTACTTTTCATGCCCAGTTACATACGCCCCACTGCCAGCTGAGATTACTAAAAGCAGATGAAAAAAAAAAAAAAGGTGGGGGGAGCTCTCTGGAATACAAAGTATCTGCCAACAACTATCTGGGAATAGAATATAACTTTGGAGCTATTTTATAATGACAATTTCACAAAGAGAAGCTTTAAAAAAAGATAAAATTAGGTTTACTGGCTTGGACATCATAGCATCTTAAAACTTCACTTGAAATGCCTTTAAAAATAATTATATACACTATGCATTTATTCATATAATTAAAAATAACCCAGTATTATAAGCAGCTCAATAGGGAGTTTTTTAAAGTTGAGCGTTCCAACTTTCTAAACTAATATACAAAAAGAACATATAAATCAGGTAGGAAATGTGAGCCAGAAGCTTCCAAAGATAATTTCTAAGCAAGAAAAGACATACACATCAACACAAAGGCGATCAGCATTCTACACAAATCAGGCATTTTCTTACCACAGCTTACAAGAGCACACTATTTATAGAAGGAAGGGTAAGGAGGTATACTTAGTGGTATGCTAATAAATGTGTAGCAGCTGGCTCTCGCGGGGGGAAGCCGGATTTGCAGTACTGGCTGGTTTCTGTGGTGTAAATATTCCCCAAACAGCCAGTTCCAAACCACAAACCCAACATCAGTGAATGAGGGAGTTAGAAAGAGATGAGAAAGTCGGCTCTCCAAGAGAGAGCTCCAGGACACCACTGGTGGCAGGGCCAGAAGAATATTTTTAGTCCCAGCGACAGCATTCTATTCCACAAGTTACTTCTGAAGGTCTTACTATCTACCTGAAAAGATATCGGCATCGACTGTGTTGACTGGCGCATGGGAACAAACTAGAATGTCGAGCCACCTTGACAACGTATGTGATTATTTCTGGTCAACAAAGCTGTGAAGCAAAGCGCACAGCAGGCGCGGATGCTGTCCTGGAAGGCCTGCTCGCAGGCTGGCCCTTGGCTGCATCTGGGAATGTTGATTTTGGGAGAGTTCCCACCACCCTAATTGATAAGCGTAGTTCACTATGTCAAAACAATTTGTGCAAACAATATGGTTTACTTTAAACACCTGCATTTCTTCTGGGACTCTGGAATTTGGGTCCACGACAAGCAGAAGGTGCCTATGTGACCACCTCCCAGTAAAAAACCAGGGGTACTCGGTCTATATTGAGTTTCTAACGGACAACATTTCACATGTTTTCTTCACGACTTATTATCAGTGGAATTAAGTGTGTCCTGTATGTCTCCACTGGGAAAGGACTCTCGGAAGCTCATGCCTGGTTTACCCCAGACTTCACCCTATGCATCCTTTGCTGAGTTTCCTTCATATCTTTTCACTGCAATAAACCACAGCCATGAGTCCTAGCAAAGCATGAAATCTGGGGGAGTTAAGTCATTTCCTCAGAAACTCATTTGCCTTGCACGAGTCCATCTCATCAAGGGGTGTGGGGGCACCACGAAGGATAAAAGAGGAAAGATGACTCTTGCCACCTGCCAATTACAGATATTTCCCATCACCTCCAATGTAGATGAATTCCAAACCTGCTTAAATTCCCATCACCTCGCACCTCGATGCATTTGTTGTACCAAGCCTGCTTTGAAAGGTCATCTAGAATGTACAGTGCTTAGAGAATAGAACAGCTTAATTTCTCTTCAGTACAAGATTTTTTTGAAAGACATTCTTTACTTGGGATGAATCCCGTTTGTACTTAAGCCCATACAGTGTGTTATTCACTAGCAGACAGTTGCTTATAAACCCACTGGCAGCTGTTGCTTTGTATTCAGTACTGGATAAATAGGATAACCATATAATTTACTGTCCAAACTTTTTAAACTGAAAGGGAGCACCAGTAATAATTATGCCCAAACAACAGGTATAAACTATTGTTTACAAGGCAAAAGGGGACAGTAAAGTCATCCTAGTAAGAAACCAAGTTAATTACATAAGAAAACCAGATAGTTCTGCAGAAACCTAAATTACTCCCCACTTACAGTAAGCGATCTGATTCAAAATAGAGAAACACACACACACCCTCATTCCCAGAGGAAAAATGATTTAAGCTGGACTGAAGAATGGGGAGTTTAGAGTAAGTGGAGATAAAAGGAGAAGAATCTGAGTGAGGGAACAGAGTCCAGAAAAGTTATGTTTTGGTTGATCAAAAAGAATTCCAGGGAGATTAACGTGAGGACAGTAGAGAATATACTGATTCAATGGTGCGGCTGGACTGAAGAATGGGGAGTTTAGAGTAAGTGGAGACAAAAGGAGAAGAATCTGAGTGAGGGAAAAGAGTCCAGAAAAGTTATGTTTTGGTTGATCAAAAAGTTTAGTCAGAAATGAGAGGTAAGGCAGAAAAGAGAGAATGTGTGCAAACTTCATCTATAGACACCACAAAAGCTTGAGGAAGGTGTTGACGAGATCAAAGTAGAATTCCAGGGAGATTAAGGTGAGGACAGTAGAGAATATACTGATTCAATGGTGCAGCTGGGTGCCTGTGACTGTGGAGACCTCTTATTTAGTAGGGGTGAAGATGTTCGGTATACCTCAGTAAGAAAGAGAAGCTGAAGGATATGAGAAACAAGGACGAGGGTGCGAGAAAGGAGGGGGAAAAAAGTCAAAAATAATTTTGGTATGAGAAACACCAGCATTACAGAATTAAAGAAATGAGAAGTAGGAACAAATTTGAGAAAATGGTGATATGTGAGATGTCAATGTATTAGTAAGAAGAGGTAAAGTCCCGAGCAGCGGGAAGTTGGTCAGCATGATGAAATCACGCCCTGAGATGCTCATCGGGGTGTTATAAGGACAGTACGGAAATGGAAGAGATGCCGGGGACACAAACTTAAGGATACAAATAGAGGAATAAGGGTAGAAACTAAGGGGTTCCCTTTCTTTAGGAGGCAGGGATAAGAGGACTCTGCTCAAGGCATACTTAGAGATATGTGAAAAGCCAATTTCTGGGTTTCTCAAAGGATTTCTTTTCTCCTAATTATAAAAGTATTACAGATTCATTATTATAAGTTTATTCATTACTCATTACTATAACAGAGAAATGTGAAGATTATAAGAATCATTATTCTTTTTCTTTTTTTTAACCTTCACCCAAGGACATGCTTACAGAGAGGAAGGGAGAGAGAGAGAAATATTGATGTGGGAGAGAAACATTGATTGGTTGCCTTCCACACACTCCCAGACTGGGGATTGAACCCACAACCCAGGTATGTGCACTAACCAGGAATCGAACCAGCAACTTTTTGGTGCACAGGAAGATGCTCAGCCAACTGAGCCACACTACAGCTAGGCCCCAATCATTCTTTTGTGCCATTTCAGATATTTCTAAATTTTTGCATTGCAAGAGTTATCTTACATCAACACCACAATTTATTTTTATGCTCATTTTGACCATTTCTCTTGGGTAAATTCCTATCAACAGAAATCATTTCAACTATCTTTTACATTTCAAATTTGTTGAAATATGTCATCAAATTTATCTCAAGAATAATTGAATAATTTTGTTTCTACCAGAGAAGCAAAAGTGTGCTCGTTTTCCCATATCATCACTAACAGTGGATATATTTTAATAAATTAAACTAACATCCTGCTGCTATTATTAATCTGCATTGAATTTTAATATGTAACATTGAAACTAAACCATATTCACTATGGCTTACATTTCTTCTTTAATGAAATAACCACTAATATTTTGAACCCATTTTTTCAACTGAAGACTACCTTTTTTATACTGATTTGCAAAAACATCTTGTGTATGAGTGATGGTAATCCTATGTCATATGCTATATAAATTCCCTGATACTTTGCCTTTTAATTTGAATTAATGTCTCATGAAACAGACATTATTTTATGCATTCTGATCTTTCCACATTTCCTTTATAATCTCTTCCTCTTATTTTATGCTGAGGAAGACATTAACTGCTCACATATTAAATATTACTACTTGTTATGTGCTGTAAAGTCTATTATATTGACAAGTCTGTTTCCAACTCTGTTATTTCAATGATCCACCTGAAAGATGGTCTTGGAGCTTTATCAACACAAGCTGATCCCTAGTTCCGTCCTGGAAATGGGCAGCCACCGATTTCCCTGAGGAGTCAGAGAGAAGGCACAGAGGGGTCTTTCTGAGAGCAACTTAACAAGTCTGGTGCTGACAGGACAGGAACAGATGTCATTTAATACCATGTTACAAAACTAAATACACATGTGGCAGCATCTCCCGATGAGAGAACTTGATTCCTGGAAGCGTAGTGCAAACAAAAAACCCACGCCACATTTTTCCTTGTCTACATTATGTGCTCCGAGGAGCTGTGATGGCACAACTGTGTTGTGTTGTGGGCTGTGCCTCCTGGAAAAGAAGTGTGTGAGTGTGTGAGTGTGTGAGTGTGTGAGTGTGTGAGTGTGTGAGTGTGTGTGTGCGTGTGCTCTTAGGTTTATTCTAGTGCAATGTTTAGAGAAATGTGAGCATTTAAGAAATATGGAACAGGTGAATATAATATTAAATTTGTATGGAAGCACAAAATATGCCAGATAGTCAAAGCAATATTGAGAAAGAACAAAGCTAAAGATATTGTGCTCCCAGTTTTCAAACTATATTACAATGCTATATTTAAAAAATCGTATGGTATTGGCATAAAAACAGATGAACAGATGAATGGAACAGAACAGAGCCTAGAAATAAACCCATGTATAAATGTTCAATAGATTTATGAAAAAGAAACCAAGAATATACAACAGGGAAAGAATAGTGTCATCAACAAATGGTGCTGGGAAAACTGGACAGCCAGATGGAGAAGAATGAAACTCGATCACTATCTTACACCATTCCAAAAATTAGCTCAAATGAATCAAAGACTTGAACATAAGACCTACAATCATAAATGCTTAGAAGAAAAATGTAGGTGATAAACTCCTTGACAGAGATCTTGGTGATGATTTTTTGAATCTCAAACCAAAAACAAAGGCAACAAAGGCAAAAACAAATAAGTGGGACTACATCAAACTAAAAAGCTTTTGCACAGCCCTGGCCAGTGTGGCTCAGCTGCACCAAAAGGCGCCTGGTTCAGTTCTGGTCAGGGTATATGCCCTGTGTTGCAGGCTCGATTCCAGGTAGGAAGCATGCAGGAGGCAGCCGACAAATGTTCCACTCTCACATCGATGTTTCTCCCTCTCCCTTCCTCTGTCTCTAAAATTCAATAAAAATATTTTTTACAAAGCCTCTACACAGCAAAGGAAAAGGCAATGTACTAAATAGAATCTCCCTTCCTCTGTCTCTAAAATTCAATAAAAATATTGTTTACAAAGCCTCTACACAGCAAAGGAAAATATTTGCAAATCATATATGTGATAAGGGGCTAATATCAAAAACATATAAAGAACTCATACAACTCAAGAGGAAAAAACAAACAATCCTATTAAAAAATAGATGATCTGAATAAACATTTTTACCAAAAAAAAGACATATTGACTGACAGAGACATGAAAAGATGCTCAACATCATTAATCATCAGGGGAATGCAAATGCAAATCAAAACCACAATGAGATATTACCTCACACCTGTTAGAATTGCCATAATAAAAATACAAGCGGTAACAAATGTTCGTAAAAATCTATATTGGTGCAGTCACTATGAAAAACATTATGGAGGTTACTAAAAAAAATAAAAAACAGAACTACATTATGATCCAGCAATTTCACTTCTGGCATTTATCTGAAGAAAACCAAAACTCTAATTCAAAAAAATGTATGCACCCCCATGTTCATTGAGGAGTTATTTACAATAGCCAAAATATGGAAACAACCTAAATGTCCATAGATGAATGAATAAATAAATAAATAGTGAAAACTGGTCAGCCAAAATAAGTAAATAAAATCTTGCTATTTTGACAACCTGGATGGACCTTGAGGACATAATGCTAAATGAAAAAATCAGACAAAAAAAGAGAAATACCACATGATCTCTCTTATATGTGGAACCCCACGAAAATAAGTAAATAAAAGTTCACAGATAAAGAGAACAGATTGGTGGTTGCCAGAGTCAGGGGGGCAGGGGAATTGGCAGGGATAAAATTTAAGAAAAAAGGAAGGAAGGAAGGAAGGAAGGAAGGAAGGAAGGAAGGAAGGAAGGAAGGGGGGAAGGAGGAAGGAAGGAGGGGAGGAAGGAAGTGAGGATGAAATGATGTAGGCTTAATAAGAGCTTTCTAAGTAGAACAAACAATAAGTGCAAAGGTCCTGAGGTATGCCCAGACTTGAATAATTTGGGCAAGATAAAAGGTTAACATAACCAAAGCATGGAGTAAAAGAGAGAGGGGGGGGGGGGGGTTGGAGGAGAAGAAGTAGTAGTAGTAGTATGGGACATGTCAATGGAATATTAAATTGTAAATATAATACCTCAAACTTAAACATGCCATTGAAAATTTAAAATATTCATTTTTCTTAATGACAGTTTCCCCCCCCCCCCATTTCATTTAGCTACAAAACCTTTCCATGGGCACACAATTGTATGTTCAATTATCTTTTTTTAATAGCAGGTGCTAGTAACACAATATAGGTTATAATGAACTCATGTTTAAATAACAGAACTTCCCAATATGAAATATATTGAAATGAAGAAATTCAATTCCCTCAATGAGAACATGAAAGTGTAGAAAAAAGGAACCAGAAGCAAAATAACCCTCCCGTGGCTTTTCGATGTGGGGGAACTCTAATCATACTCTGACTCATCAAGCAGCCCCGTGGCTGGATGTGGAGGTAAGAGAAATAGCAGAAAGAACACAGAGAGCAGAGGACCAGGTTGAATTGGAAAAGTGCTCGTTGGCTTCGCTGGATCAGGATGAGGCATTCAGAAGTGGTTCTGGACAGTGACACCTCCCAAGTACAGAGAGAGGAGGGAGAAGAGATGGGAGACTCCGCGTGGCGGTCTCCTATGATTCCCTGTGAAGGTGTGGGGCCCCGGGTGCAACCACCTGACTCCCATCTTGCAGCTCTGAGACAACCATGGTAGATCCAGGGAAAAGCGTGGGTGGAGTGTCAAGAGTTTTTGTTGTTGTTCTTAGGATGAAAATGACAAGAAAGTCCATTAAAAAAACCCCACACATACCTCATCAGAACTGAAACTGCACTATGCCTTAGTAAAAAGACTGCAAGATTTTACTAATTATAGTTAAAACACTACCAATGAGGACAGATATTTCAGAAAGAAGGAATAATGGGACTGCTTATATGCATACGGGTTAGTAAAATATTTCTGTTGCCTATTCTTTAAGAAAACCGATGTAAAATAATTGAATTCCCCCCCCCCCCCCCGCCCCCATGTTGAGGCAACGCCTTAAAAACAGATATTTTCAACTTCACTTAAAAGCTATAACATGAATTTGGTAGGTTCTGCCATTAAAATATGCCCAACAGAAGAAAATAAAAAAGTTTTGCTTCATTTTCTTACTGTTGAAGAAAACACTGTTTTTTCATTTGGAACTGTTAATATTAAATGTCACAAGGCATGAAAAATGTTCAGCACAGTGCCTGTTATTAGTAAAGGCTCAGTGAACTATCTACTTTTTTTAACGAAAGAATAGCAGATCCTGAGACACTGCTACCTTGGACATTTGGACTTCACATGACGTAATGCTAATGTCCTTTTTTTCTATTGGAAAAGCTTACCTCTTGCAAATGAGACTCCTTTTTCTTTGCAGACAAATTTAAATGTTTTTCAAGAATAGAATAGTATTTTTCACTCTCCTTGTCAAACTTCTTCTTCCCATCCTGGGGATAACAAAACAAAACATTCAAATTAGAGCCGCAAGAAAACCACAATTTTCACCACTCCCATCAAACATCAAATAAAAGAAGGATTAGTGAACTCCAAATACGTGCAAAATTGTATGAAGCAGAGTAGAAAGAAGGACATAAAACAGTCGTTTGAATACGTATTCTCTCAGAGGTGCTCATGGAACTATCTCTTACGGAGGGGCCAGACTGACTACAGTAGACTCCCTTTGAGCACTTCAGAATTGATTCTCAAATAAAGAAAATGTCTCCTTTAGGCTTTTTAGTGACTCGGATGAGATAATACACAGCCAGTTTAGAGAACCACTGGCACAGAGCCTTTTCCAGAAATCTTTATTTCCCAGCCACAAAAAGATACTTGATATTTCAAACAACTCATTCTTAACAAGGAAGAAAACAGACTTTTAAAAGCATAAAATCATTAAGTCAGACCGCTTAAAGTCAAATCAAAGGGATTAGCAGCATCTGTATCACATACTCAACATAACTAATAACTAGCCTTCGCTCACTCCTAAAAATTACGTTTTTGTTTTGAACAGGTAGCTGTAACCAGGATGGCCTTTTGAGGGGAAGGAGGATAACTTTACCTTTCATTCTATCACATGCTTCTATCGAAATGCAAATGTAATAAAATCCTAAAAGGAACAGGACATGCCTGGGCATACAATCTTCTCCAACCATAAATATGCATGTTTTCTCCATTCATGAACCCCTCTGAAATAAATACTAGGGAACCACATTCAAATTTCATTGGCCAGAGTAGTACTACTCTTTGCTTTTATTTCAGTGTTTCTGGAAAGACAATCTCTGAACAACTTTAAAAAGAGTCAGGTATCTTTTAAGCCTATTCAAAATGCAGGTTCCTATTTCTCCCATCCAGAGATTCATGCACTGTTATTTTTCACCACCTTTACTATATTGTACACCTTAAACTAATATGAGCTTGTGTGTCAACTGTAATTAAAAAATAAAATTTTTAAGAATATATTTTTTTATTGATTTCAGAGAGGAATGTGCCCTGACCGGGAATCGAACTGTAACCTTCTGGTTGATAGGTCGACACTCAACCACTGAGCCACATCAGCTGGGCGAAAAATAAAATTTAAAAAATCAATCTCCATAATTATTATGCATAATGTTTTGCTTCATTATTTGCATAAGGATTTGGAAAAGGTAAATTACAAACAATGGCTGTCCCCTACCCAACCCCATTAACCTCTTCCAGCAAAAAAAAAGGGGGGGGGCATATGTAATACTTTCAACAATAAAGATTTTTAAAAACAAAAACAAACAAACAATGGATGAATGGATGAATGGATGAATGGACGGATGGGGCAAGGAGGGGAAAAAGGGAAGAATGGAGGGAAAAGCATTGAATGGAAAGAGCAAGTAGGCTTCTGCTATAGAAGTTCAAATCCCTTTTAGACCATTTAAGAAGTACTGATAGGTTTGTACTTTATAGCATTATACCTGTAAACAAGGGGGGGAAAGTCTAAATCCTCCAAGGATTCTTATTACCTAAAGAGAACATGTGGTCCTACTAAGAGAAACACAATTGAAAATAAATCCAAAAGAAGTCTGTTGAGGAACTCACATACCAAGATGAGCAGAACCGAAAGGAAGCGAGAAAGCCCAAGGCTCAGACAGGAGAAGCGTGTCCTCCTTCTCCACTGAGGGGACAGACACCTGGGTGAGCATAGTATCTTCTGCTCAATGATGTTACTCTTAAACTGGTGTTTCATGCCCACCATTCACCTGCCCAATCTACTTCTCCAAAAGTCTCTCTCACTAGCCCCTTTTGAACTCCCATCCTTTTCTTTTTTCTCTCTGGGCCATCTCCCCTTTGACATAAATGCTCATTTCTTCCAATTTCAACATACTCGAGTTATATCTATTTTTAGTATCCAGCTCAAATAGACATCATTGACAAGTCCCCTCCACCAACTCTCTCTCCCTTCTGAATGCTCACATAGCTTTATACATGGCTTTCTTATAGTGTTCATGTTCTACACTGCAGCACAGACCTTTACATATACCCTATCCTCCTTAAAATTAAATATCTCAGAGAGAGCTCAATAAATATTTAATGAAAAGATGAAAGTCTTCCTCTTATAGCACTGGCCACAATAGTCCCTCATTGATATTCCATTTGATCAAAAAGTCAATATCCATGTTACAAGGGAATATTCTGCAGAAACGGCGTTAACTCAAACCCAATGGCACATTCTCATTTGGGGGCAACCAGCTGCATCATGGTATAGTACATAAAACTGATTCACTTTCATCTTACAATGTGGGCTTAAAATTTCTCACTGTACGTAAAAGAAGAAACTGGTTGAAGAAGAGAACACAGCTGTGGTGGCTACACTTGCATCTTTGTTTTCAGTCAGTGTTTGATGGCATTTTTGGAAATGTTAATTCAGGGCTCACACATCAGAATTCCTGGCAATACAAAAGTTATTCCCGGAAGCACTTCCTGGACTCTTATTCAAACCCTGGCCCTTCACACCATTGGGCCAGCAAAAAAGATCTACTCAACAGTTCCAATGATATAGACAACAAAAACTCACTCAGCTGGAGCATAAAATTAAAGAGCTGAGTTTGCAGAGTGGGCCACATGAAGGACAACTATAATCTAAGGAAGCATGTTTCTGAAAACAAAGCATGTTTCTCACATCTCCCCTGAAAAGTCATGATTTACTGCTCCTGTAAGCCAAGTCTATTTGGACTTAACCATTTAACACCATACAGCTACCTCTTGTCTCTGTTTACTTGTTGTGGATATCAAGCTAAGAATTTTCTCTGAAACTAGTGCTACGGAGAGAAGGGAAAAATAACCCATGAATCTTTACTAAATGCTGTGCATAATCACTGACTTCGTATTTTTATTTTATTGATCTTAGAGAGAAGAAGGGAAGAAAGGAAAGGAGGGGGAGGGAGAGGGGGAGGGAGAGTGAGAGAGAGAGAGAGAGAGAGAGAGAAACATCCATTGGTTGCCTCCCACACATACCCCCACCAGGGACCAAACCCACAACCTGGGTATGTGCCCTAAACCAAAAATCAAAACCAGCAACCTTTTGGTGTATGGATGAAGCTCCAACTAACTGAAACACACCATCCAGAGCCTATCACGTCTTCTTATTGTCTTGGAATGATTCATAAAATGCTATATTATAATGGTACATTTTCTGCAAATCAATGGTGACTGCATTTGAACTAGGTAATCATTAAAAATGAAGACATATATAGGCATGTATGTGTGATAAATATGTATATGATAAAATATTTTAATATAGATCATCATAAAGGACAAATTAGTCCCCAAGCCTAATTAGAATTGGAAAAAGTATAAAATAAGTCCTGGGTCTACATTCTGTTTTCTAAACTATGCTGATTTATTCTGAGCACAGTGATCATACTATTACTGAGCTTTTAAGCTTAGCAACTATGGTGACATCACACACATTGAAGTGAGGAAGGAGAGGAAATCATTACAGCACAAATTCCAAATGCCAATTTTACTCTTAAAGTTATTATATATAATAAAAATTGTCAAATAGTTATAGCTACAAGCATATCACAGATAAAAATATTAAATTATACACAATTGTTAAAAAGAAAAAAAGACCAAACCAATGCCTTCACTAACCACAAGAGGGTACCAAAGATAAAGAATAGATTCAACCACAACATTTAGAAAATCACAAATAGAAATTCTAAGTGTTATCTAATTGCACTTTTTTTCTATAAAAGACTACTGCACAGTTTAAACAATTGCCTTAGCAACCTTTATTTTAATGTTACCATGATATAAATTTTTAAAATTAAGGAAGCAAAAATTTTTTTTCTGTTTCTTTTAAATAATGGAGCACATATTTAGGATTTGTGCTTCAGACTTTTTAAGACAATCCCAATGTTATGATAGCCACACAGGCTACTGAAAAATTTCCTATACAAATATGTTATCATGTTAGTGTAATAACCATTAGCTAAATAAATACTACGTTTATATTTTGAAAAATCCTTCACGAGACTGCACAGTAGTAGCAAAAGTAATATGAAGAGTAATAAATACCAATAGCTACATTTCTATTTTAAAAAAATATGTGGAAGTCTCGTGAACTGGCACTGTGGGGGACACTGAGAGGATATGATACAGCCCTGACTGTATCCATCCTGGCTAGCCTGCTTCCGCTCCCGGTGGTGAGATTTACCCACTGCCTAGAACGGCAGCTCAGGGTGACATCACAATCTCTGAGCGTCTGAAGGGCCAGATGCAAGGATATTCCAACCACATACTGTGTAGGAGTTTCCTGAGCCCCAACTGATTCCTGGTATCCAGAAACCCAAATTGTTGATAATCTTAGTACAGCGTAAACAGCAATATCACCCTGTGGGTGACTGCACCCAACCATCCCCAGTCTCCCCAACCCATTCTCCACCCCGTCCCTCCTCCTCAATCTGCTCACATATAGACATTCCAAAAGGGCTCCTTCCAGGTGGGCTGCCCCAGCATAATTCACACATCCCTCCCATTCCCAATGACCTCACCACTGTCACATAACAGGTGATCATATTCATAAGAAACGAAGGTTTCATATTTGGTAAGGATTTCATAAGGATCTCCTACAAACAACACAGAAAAACAAAGAGAAATATGTGTGTGAAGGATATGAAGCAACAATCCACAGAAGAGGAAAGCCAAAAGGGTGGCAAGCATATGAAGGGTTTTTCAAACTCGTAAGTAGTAGAAGAAAAGCAAATTAAAATATGAAGTTATCACATCATATCTATCAGTATTGGCAAGAGTTGGAAAGTTGAATAACACTACATGTAGAGTGGAGATGCAGGAACCCTTAGGTACAACAGGTGGGACTGTAGGGGGTACAACCTTTCTAAAAAGAAATGTTACACTACGAAGTAGCAAAAGGTGTGCCCTAAGAACCAGCTTCTGTGTGTACATTCCAAAAAGGTCC